CTACACCTGACCCTCAGGCCTACCAGCTCCTGCCAACACCCCAACTACACCTGACCCTCAGGCCTACCAGCTCCCGCCAACACCCCAACTACACCAGACCCTCAGGCCTACCAGCTCCTGCCAACACCCAACTACACCTGATCCTCAGGCCTACCAGCGCCAGCCAACACCCCACTACACCTGACCCTCAGGCCTACCAGCTCCTGCCAACACCCCACCCCAACTACACCTGACCCTCAGGCCTACCAGCTCCTGCCTACACCCCAACTACACCTGACCCCTCAGGCCTACCAGCGCCAGCCAACACCCCAACTACACCTGACCCTCAGGCCTACCAGCGCCAGCCAACACCCCAACTACACCTGACCCTCAGGCCTACCAGCTCCTGCCAACACCCCAACTACACCTGACCCTCAGGCCTACCAGCTCCTGCCAACACCCCAACTACACCTGACCCTCAGGCCTACCAGCTCCCGCCAACACCCCAACTACACCTGCCCCTCAGGCCTACCAGCTCCCGCCAACACCCCAACTACACCTGACCCTCAGGCCTACCAGCGCCAGCCAACACCCCAACTACACCTGACCCTCAGGCCTACCAGCTCCTGCCAACACCCCAACTACACCTGACCCTCAGGCCTACCAGCTCCCGCCAACACCCCATTACTCCTGACCCTCAGGCCTACCAGCTCCTGCCAACACCCAACTACACCTGACCCTCAGGCCTACCAGCTCCTGCCAACACCCCACTACACCTGACCCTCAGGCCTACCAGCTCCCGCCAACACCCCAACTACACCTGACCCTCAGGCCTACCAGCTCCCGCCAACACCCCAACTACACCTGACCCTCAGGCCTACCAGCTCTCGCCAACACCCCAACTACACCTGACCCTCAGGCCTACCAGCGCCAGCCAACACCACAACTACACCTGACCCTCAGGCCTACCAGCTCCTGCCAACACCCCAACTACACCTGACCCTCAGGCCTACCAGCTCCTGCCAACACCCCACCCCAACTACACCTGACCCTCAGGCCTACCAGCTCCGGCCCTCCCCAGCTGGCCTACATTCTACCGCGAACTACACCTAACCTCTCAAGCCTCCAATCTGTGTGTGTGGGGGGGGCAGTACTGGGGTTTGAACTCAGGGCTTGCACTCTTGCTTGGATTGTGTGTGTGTGTGTGCACATGACTCTGTTCTTGAACTTTAAGGCTATTAATCTACTATTTTGGCCACATCTCTTCTTTCAGCTTTTTTTCCTTGTTGGTTGAGGGCTTGACTTTAGGGCCTGGGCCTGTCGGAGGCAGGGCATGTGCCGGGGACCCACCTGCTCTGGCTGGGCTGGGTGACGCAGGAGGCGGGGCACTCACCTCGCTTGAGCAGGCTGGCGCGGTAGCGGCCCTCCAGGGTGCAGTTCCAGCGCTCGAAGCGGAACTGGTACTGGCACTCGAGGGCGCTCATGCTCACGGCCTCTACCAGGGTCTCGGCCACGCCCGGGTCCCGACGGCACATGCGCCGCTGCTTGCGCTCCAGCTTCAGCCGGTCGCAGGCCTTGTAGTGGGCCTGGGCCACTGCTTCCGGCTCCAGGGTCAGCGGGAGGATGGTCAGGGGCTCGCTGCCGGTCAGCCTGGGAAGAGCCGGGAGTGAGCCCTGGCCCCAGAGGAAGGGCTGGGCGGGTCCCAGGTCAGGGACCCAGGCAGGACCCTCACTGGCCCCCACTGACCACACACTGCCCTCCTGGCTCCTGGACCCTGAGCATGGCCTCCACACGGCTGTCTTTGCTTCTATCCTGTCCCTGAGGGCTTCAGGGAGCCTGGCCACCACCAGCCCAGGAGAATAAAGACTCCATCCCAACACAGCTCTCCACGGGGAGCACAACCGGTGCCTTCTGCGGAAGGGGCCGAGCGGGGCCCAGCTGGGCCTCACTGCGGTCACCGGCCGGTGCTGTGCCCTCAGGAGCGGGCCTGGCCTGCTCCCCTCTCCAGCCCCCTGCGTCCTGAGCAGGGAAGGGTGCAGGGGACAAGAGAAGGACGGTCCCCAGATAACCGCCCACAGGCTGGGCCCAGCGGACCCCAACTCTTCCTACCAGGCCCAGAGCTCTAGTTACAGCTCCAGGCCTCATCTTCTGCACCCTCTAGTCACGGGCCCTCCCCCAGGCACAGGCGTCCCAGACAGGCCCCTCAGGGTCTCCGCCTTATCCCACTTCCATGACACCAGCCCCAGCTCCCAGCCAAGGGGCAGTCTTCTTGCCATTCCTCACATCCTTGCTCCACCCCACAACTCGCAGTCTGAGTTCTGGAAACCATGCTTTCACCCCAGGCCACACAACCCCAGACAGAGAGACATGTCCACCCTCAGGCAAATATTCCTAGGCCTTGAGCCCTGCAGTCAGAACAGCACCAGCAAGTGAGCGGGATTCAGAGACGCTTACCAAGAGCATCACTGGAGATCACTTGTCTGGCCCTAACCTCCTCTGCAAACACCTTGAAGTAGAACTTTAGCAGAGCTCCATGCAGGGGCCTCTACATGGGAACATGCGGAGGTGAGTGGAGGGGACTCAGGGATGTGGAGGTGAGTGGAGGGGACTCAGGAATGTGGGGAGGTGGAGGGGACTCAGGGATGTGGAGGTGAGTGGAGGGGACTCAGGGATGCGGAGGTGGGTGGAGGGGACTCAGGGATGTGGAGGTGAGTGGAGGGGACTCAGGGATGTGGGGGGGTGGAGGGGACTCAGGGATGCGGAGGTGAGTGGAGGGGACTCAGGGATGCGGAGGGGACTCAGGGATGTGGGTGGGTGGAGGGGA